GCTCTACATTTTACTCATATTTAATGATCGAACAAAAACTTAAAAGTGATTGGGAGGGCTTTCTCTTTATGTTAATGTGAAATTACAGACTCCATAGAAGTTGTAACACTGCTCAAAAAGCAAATATTTAGAAAAGAGGCATGGAAGAGACAAAGAAAAGCCTCACGATTTAGAGCAATGGCAGGGAGGCAAGCTGCATCTGTAAATCTCTAGAGAGCAGTGTGCTAAATAAGTGGTTTCTTCTCAGAAGGCAGCTGTTTATCAGTAAATACTCCTCGGAAGTGCAGTTTGTTAATCTGCAGGGGGAGATGTCTGGGCACTTCTGTTCCCAAAGGTCTTGATGAGATAAGGAAGGGGCGGCTTGACAGCTGCTCTTGGTTCTATATCCATGAAGCAGCACTGCATGGTATTTACGCCCATGGCTAATCACAGACCTTTCCTTCTAAGATGTAGGATGTGCACACGCCTGTGCCTAAGTGTGCACAGACACACAGACTTTACTTGATTCTGGCATAGCAACAGAGATCAACATTCAGAGTTTTGTTGCCAGGATGTAATACCAGTGATTTCAACAGTAGACAGCATGCTGGTTTCAAGGCAGGCTAAGCAAGAGGACATTAAAGTAAGTTTGCTTAATGACATTTGAACCTGGAGATGCACAGGGAGGTACATGAGAAAAGGTCAAGAATCCTAACTACTGGTAGCCCCACTGAGAAGTTTCAATAGTATCTTGGGAAAGAGGCCCGAAATATAGGTCGTATAATGTTCCTCAAATCTTACAGAGAGGTGAGAGGCCCCTCTGCTTCTAAATCCACAGTAGAGGATGAGTGTATGACTTGAGCAACACAAGGGCAGGACGGAGTAAGTTCACTACAAACTCTGAGAGAATGCAACTTTCCAGGAGGGCAGCAAGTTTGACTCTATCTTTGTGCACCCAGCCATTGCACAGAATCTGGCCCAAGCATATCTGATCAATGAGTGGACACGAATGAATGCACCCATTCCATATTACAGCAAATACTTCACCTCATGGGGATCTCAGCCAAAGCAAAAGCAGAGGGAATTTGCCTAGCCAGCACTTCCTATATCTAATGTCATGAACCTTGAACTCACTGGAAGACAATTTTAAAAGGTAGATGTAAGTGTTTTTTCTTTTACTGCTGACAATCTTGGCCCAGCCCTGATAAGCCCATCGAATCTGTCAGACTTTTTCAGTTTTTAACTGAAGGGTGTAATAGAAATATATTCAGGATAGCAAAGCCACTGGCACTAACATGCCTATCTCATAGGAAAGAGTACCTACATCCTTCTCCCTGCTGGAGGTATGCTTTATCCTTCTAATGCTGGGGTAGGAAATACTTGGGTAAAGCTCTTTCTACTCAATATTCATTTTTAGAGCTATCATGACTCCATTTCTTTTTCCTACTCCCCTCTCCACCTAATATACCTACAAATGTTTACTATTACCAAACCCTTTGTAGGATTCATTCTTCTCGCCAGAGAGATCTCAATTTTCCCCATCCCTTGAAACCCTACATTCTTTGAGTAAAACTTTAAGTGACATCCAAAACCAAACCTGACTTTTTACTTGACAAAACCCAATAATTACTCTGCTTTAAGTCAAATAGTCCCGCTAATCTGATACAAATCACCGAAAATTAGCACTTTCCTTCCCCCTCAATGCCAATGGCACTAAATGACTCAACTGTGCCATGCACCACCCTCTCCAGCTTTCCAGTTTGAGTCCTTTGTCACAACACTGGCTCGTTTTGTAACCACTCTCCTCTAGTATCTTCTCATCCACCCTGATTAACCAGCTCCAGCACGCTGGTCTCCAATTTAAATATCACACTTGGTTCTTCTGCCATGGGATGGTCACGGCAGAAGATATTCTATCTGGTGTAATGGGGAAGGAGGAATTTTGATTCATCTATAACCAAAGGAGAGAGAGCACATTTACCATCCTTGGGTGGCCAATATTCAAATACAGTAATTCACATGACAGAATGTACTTAATACTGTATAGTGCTTTTAATGTCTTTGATAATGCAGAAGGTACTAAGGGAATATTGCAATACTTGAGACATTATGGTATCAGCAATGTCCAAGTTACAGGTTTAGGAAGTATCACTGATGGATAGGCCGATTGCTTCTGTGTGGTTGTGTCCATGTGTTGGATGGGTGTAATGAATCTCCAAACATGCCTGGAAAAGCTGTAGAGGTCTAGATGACTTCTTGGTTCTCCGTCCTCTAACATGCTTTTACGCATTCAAGAAATATTTAATTCCTACCCTGTGCCTGGCAGGACTGCTGAAATTTTAGTTCTAGTGTTAACTATTGTGTGTGCTCTCCCTTCTTTCCATCTCTAACTTTTGGGTAAAGGTTTGTTTTTGTCTGTTTTTCCCAAATGATAGTCAATTTAATAAATGGGTTTTAGCCGGGCATGGTGGCACAAGCCTGTAATCCCAGCATTTAGGAGGCTGAGGCAGGAGGATCGCTGTGAGTTCAAGACCAGCCTGGGATACATAGTGAGTTCCAGGTTAGCGTCAACTACATAGTGACACCCTGTTTCAAAAAACAAAAAAATACTACTACTACTACTACGGATAGTGGGTTTTATAGTTTTCTCCTCACATATCTGACCTACTTGGAAATAATGCACACCCCTTTCTTCTACTGTATAACTTGGGGGCGAGGGAGTAGATCTGATTGATATTCAATTCTTAACTTTATTCAAGACTTCGTTTGGAGACCTGGAGACAAGAGATTCTGCAGACAAAAACCAGTAGCTCTGAAGTTGACCAAACTTTTTCAAAAGTGTGCTGTATGTACTTCAGCTTTCCCAATGGCCTTAAAATATTGCTAAGAGCAATAATGAATAGAAATCTGATATTGACTAGTAAAAGGGCTTTGTATAAGTCATTGAAGTATGTCTTGGAGCAAATTACTACCTTTTCTGGGGGAAAAAAAAGTTGTATTATTTTTAAAACCAAGCATTTTGACACTAGGATGTTTCCCCTGGAATCCTTCAAATTTTCATGCACACATAGCAACAGAATTGTTTTTAAAAATCTATCAGGTCGAAACATTTTTAATTAATGATACTTAGCACTTCTAGAAAGACAAATGGATTTTACGGTTTTCATTGAAAAGTTCCACAAAGTCAATAAAACAATGGCATGTGATTAAAGGTAGTAAGCACTGAAATTCTTGTGGGTAATCGGGAGGCAATGTCATCCCCTGTGTTGCTCTCTGGGTGGAAGAATACACAGGCTTCCAAAAGTTCAAAGTTCTTCCTCAGCTGCCACAAGCATCATACAAGTTGCTACATCACCGCATTACAGCAGTAACGCAGAGACCGTGATAAACATCATTTGAGTATCTGGTTTTCATTTCTTTCATTTCATAGTACATAGTACATATAGTACCTCAAGCTTCTCAAAAAATTATATAATCAGGGCTGGGGATTTAGCTAAGCGGTGTCACCACCCGCCTCACAAGTGCGCAAGGCCCTGAGTCTGATCCCTGGTAC